GTCTGTTAAGGGTCAGTACAATTATGTAGAATGTGGCCCAGAGAACAGAAATACTGCCACCTATTGCTGGTAAAAGCTGGCTTATATTTCCTGTCATATGAAGGATATATATTTTTACCTTAAAAAAATCTTCTGATCATGAGCCATTAAGTTTTTAATTCATTTTGGGCATATTTTTATGCCCCAGAAGTTTCTTAGGATCTGGTGTTTGCTAGTTTGCATTATTAATTACAATGTCTTACATCAAGTTATGGTCTGGTAAACTTAAGAGAACTTCAGGCATTTTGATCCTTCTTTCAAAGGTGTGGAAGAACTAAGTGCAGAATCTTTAAGAACAAATGGGATGGTTTGAGTTAAGGCTTAGGGTTCTTAACTGGGTGATTCCCAATACTTATTCTTTGGGCACAAATAGTTCTTTCATAGCCCTGTTGAATGGATCAAAGCAAAACCTGGCATTTTGAATGGCTTCTTTTTTGTTAAGTCCTTTTATCTTACTTAACAGTTACTAATGAGAATTCTGGGAAATTTACCCATGCAGGAAGTTGCTTGTGTATAACAACTGGCGTATAAACTTTACACACATATATTCACGTACGTGTGTGTTTGTGTATATACACACATCTAAGGTTCTGAAATTTTATGATCTCAAATCACAGGTTAGCATTCTGTCCCTGGAATGGCTACATCACCTCTTATCCACAGGGATAAAGAACTGGGTTTTCAAACATGACTACACACCACAGTCAGCTGTGGAGATTTGCATTTGTTCTTTTTTTAAAAAATAAACTTTTAATTTAAGAATAGAATTTGCTTTGCAGAAAAGTTGTGAAAATGTCACAGAAAACAGAAAGTTGCCATGTACACCATAACATAATTAGTGTCTGCATTGGCCATCACTAATGAACGAATATTGAAAAATTTTCAACTTTATTCACATTTCCTTGGTTTTTATCTAATGTCCTTTACCTGGTCCTGGATTTTACCTGGAATACTGCATTAGATTTAATTGAGTCTTTTTAGGGTTTTTTGGGCTTCACAGCTTCTCAGACTTCCCTTATTTTTGATGTCCTTGATAGTTTTCAGGAGTATTACTCAGGTATTTTATAGAATGCTGTCCCCTCCCTTCATTGCCCCCCAGCTGAGATGTGATGGATGCCTTTCTCATAACTAGACTGGAGCGGTGGGTTTTGGAGAGGAAGACCCAGAGGTAAAGTACCATTTCCTTCACATCACACGAGGGGGAAGTTGTGAGCCGTCAACATGACCTGATGTTTGTGTTGACCTTGATCAACTGGCTGAGGTAGTGTTTGTCAGGTTTCTCCACTGTGAAATTACTCTTTCCCTCCTTTCTGTGATGTGCTCTGTGCAGCCCACATTTAATTTTGAGAGCAGAGAATCTACGTACGTTGATGTGTGATTCTTTTTGCATGAGAGATTTTTTTTTCACTGAAATTTTTTTATTTACTAATATGTACATACACTGTTTAGGGTATTTCTCCTCCCCACCCCCCCTTGCTTCCAGGCAGAACCTGCTGTCCTTTATTTTTTCAGTCATTTCTTTATATCATTATGAACCCATGGATACTTGTTTCATACTTGGAATTATACTCTAACACAACTTTTTTTGTTACTCAAGTTGTGTTGAGCTTGATCAGCTTTGACCTTTTGTAGCACTTTCAGTTGCTTTCTGTGTCCCTTTGACATACCCCATCATTGTGTTTGGACATGGGCATAGGTCGTTATTTTTAGCACTATGTTATGATCCAAGCTTATCTTGAAAATTTCTTGCTGTAACCCAAAATTCAGCTATTTCTACAAGGAGCCCTGGTTCCTTTTATTGAAGAATGGTATTAAAAACTAATATGTTTGTTGCTACTGGGATGTGATTGGTTTTAGACCCTTTTAGCTGACAGAACAAGGAAGTATATGTGTTACACTAACCTATGTATAAACACATATCTATAAATATTGTATCTAGATTAAATAAACATTAGCTTATATTGATAACTATATAGATCAAATGTAGTTTATACTGATAAACTATGGTTTAGTTTATTAACTAGAATTAGTTTTTAATTTCTATAGAGCCTCCAACTGTACTCCATTACTGCATGGATCTTTCTAGCTTCCATCTTGGTTTATTGGTAACCTCCCACTCGAACAGTGATAGCCTCCTGTGAGGCTTATTAAATACACTCTCAGGCCTATGCCCTGAGGTTGATGTAGGTGTCCATCTGTAAGGCTTCGGAATCTGAATTTTAACAAGCCTTGGATACGTCACATTCACCCATCATAGGCTCTTATAATGTCATATACTTTGCCTTTGTAACATTTTTCACAATTACCCTTTGACATTTTTTTTTTAATGTGGTGCAGATCAAACCCATGGCCCCAAGTATGTAAGGCAAGTGCTTGACCATTGAATTATACTCCTCCAACCCCTTTGACATCCTTTTGTAATATTTTTGATATCCTTGTTTGATTAATACTGTCACTCCCTCAAGACAAGAAGCTCAGTATCATTCTGTCCCCAGTAAGGGTGCATAGTAGGTACCTAATGAATATTTGTTGACTATTGAATGGGTGGAATTGCATACAGCAATGAGGAGGAGAAAAAATATATGAGATTTACTGAATCCTTCCTACATGATAAATGCCTTTCTAATTGCTTGCAATAGTGTCATCCAGTTTAGCACTTTGAATTAGGTCTGGCTAGCACCAGAAACCACGCCCATTCTGATTTGAGGTTCCTGACACTTGAAGGAAGCCCCTTGTTTGCTGCTTTTTGTGTCACTGGAACTCCCACTGGCTGGGATCAAGCTGTGTGGGTGGCCCAGGAGGAGGCCAGGGGGCAGAAATGGCAGCACCCACTTAGAGTCTCACCCAGGCCCCATTAGGAAATTGACTCCAATTTGGTTTGGGGAGAAGGAGTTGTTTTTTCCTGCTCCTTCATGATCACAATGAAGGTGACATTGATTTACAAGTCAGTGGGTTGGAGCAGGGACAGGAGGCTTCTATGGGTGGAAAAGATCAATTAAATGATTATCCCAGCTGCCACACACTAATGCCTTTCTTACTGAGTTTCAGAATCAGGAAGCAGAAGGCTACCACATTTAGCCTTTTACAGGAAATCTAATTGCCAACTTTGTGATGCCAACTTTTATTAGATTGGGAAGAGTCCATCTTAGTGGCTGACAGTTTCTGGCACTACAGAAAGCTTTTTACTGGCCACCTGGAATTCTAAATGAGCTCTTTCTCTTCCTTTTTGGGTACTTTTGTTAAAGTTTTATGAAAATAACATTTTCATGATTTTATCTTTTGGTTATTTTTATCGAGTTCTGGAGGGCTAGAACTTAAATTTAAAAAAGAAGAATTCTACAGACAGTGAAAACAATTTATTGATTCCCTACTATATGCTAGACCTCGGGTTAGTGGTCAGGGATTATAGTGATGACCATAACGGACTAATGTTGTCTGTAGAATCCTCCATCTAAAATGCTCTTCCTATAGCTTAGGAGTTCCCACACTGTAGTACGTCTGAGAATCACTTGTTCTGGGTCCCTCTCTAGAATTTCTGATTCAGTAGGTCTGGGGTGGGCCTGAGAATCTGCATTTCTTTTTTTTTTTTTCTTTTATTCTTATGTGCATACAATGTTTGGCCATTTCTCCCCCCTTCCCCCCACCCCCACCCCCACCCCACCCCACCCCCGCTCCTCCCTTACCCGCCCAAGAATTCTAATTCTACATTTCTAACAAGATCCTAGGTGGTACAGATGCTGCTGGTACAGGAGGACCACTGCCCAGAGTTTTCATGGTTGTCCCTTTATCATTCGAATCTCTAATCAAATGTTGCTTCCTTAGAAAGGCTGTGCTTGATTTCCCTACCATATTCTTTCTCAACTTGTCACCATTCACTCTCTATTTCATTTTCTTCATAGCATTTATTCTTTGATACTCACTTGCCTGTTTGTTGCCATCATCATCATTAGAATAAAGCCTCATGAAAGCATTTCTTATTCACTGTCAATCCCCCAATAAAAGAGTATCTGCTACAGAGGACATCCTCAATAAATACCTGAATGATGAAATAATTACAAGGGTCCCGAGTCTTATGACTCTCATGGCATAGGATGCCGTGGTAGAGTAACAGGAGACCTAAGGTGGTGCAAAGACATTGCACTGCATCCTACTTGGAGCAGTTTTTAGACATGGCCTCAATGCCAGTCTTAAATCAGCACACCAGCATTTCGTCTGCAAAGTTGTGTGATTTCTTTGGCGATCACAGGAGGCAGCTCAGGATTTGTTTAATTTTTTTCATAGCCTTTCCATGGTTCTGTCCACATTGAAAAAAGGCTACTTGGAGCAGAATAGCATTCTGTTCATGTAGGCAATTCTTACACAAACTGAGTGAGTAAACTATCAGGCCCCTATCTCCCAATTTGTTGGGATGTGAGGCCTGAAAAAGGCTGTTTCTAAAGACTTTGCTCCTGGTTTCTGCACTTGTCTGGAATCCTGTACCCATGCTGATACCTGATAGCTTTTTCAAAATCCCTGCAAAATTGAGTGAAGGTACATACTCTTTTCCTGTGCAGGAGTCACATCTTGGCTGATATCTGAAGATTCTTCCCCCTTGCTGACCTTGGAGAGAAACAGAAGGGCAGGCATTGAGCTTTTGATAGAGTTAGGCAAAAGATGAGACAGGTGGAGGCACCATGTGATTGGCAGTGGGTGAGGGGAAGAACATAGGCTTTTGCTTTTGCCTTTTCTCTCTCCTCGGCAGCCCCTGCCCTGTGAGTGTGAAGTTTGCATAACCTAGAGCTTCCTTGCCAGCTTCTGCCAAGCCTGAACCTCGGGTGGGGAGCTGCTCCCCAGGTTTGCTTGCCGGGGGCAGCCAAAGAAACCATGATTTATTTCCCCTGAGTGTGTTATGAAAATGTAAGCACAGAGAGCTGGATTATTTGGGAGGGTGAAGAGAATCTGGTGGGGGCGATGGAGACACAGGAATCGCAGCAGTCTGGGGCCAGGGCAGGGGGCCAGAGGGCCGCCCTGTGTGTTGGGGTAACATAAGCTGCTGCTATTCAGGAGGTGGCCTGTGTAAGAAAATCTGACCACAGCGGGTGCATGACTTCAGCTAAAATTAACCTTCGAGGCTTCACACGCCTCCACAGTGCTTTGAACTAGACACCCCCAGAGAGGGCACAGGGCCACTGACTGCTGAGGACCACGCTGCCGCCTGCCCACCATGCGTATAAGCATCAACGTATGGGTTCCCACGCGGGGTCAGGTCGGGATTCCTGGACCATTACAAAGTGGTAAGCAACTGCAAGGGACGTTGGCAGGGTCTCTAGAGAACTGGTGAAGTTTGTTTAAATTGGGCTTGTGTTTAGAGACAGTTCCAATTTATTTTCTATGCTGGGTGGAAGCATGAACCCTCCAAGCCAGTCTTTCATCTGTGGAGCTCTTTGCTGAGCTAATTGCTACCTCTCTTTTGCTTTTTTGTTTTGTTGCGTCCTTGTGGGGTGAGGGACGAAAGGTGTATTTTTAGAGCAGGTAAAGACGGATCTGTCTGGAAGTTGTTGGCAGTCTGAGAAAATACAGTTGCCCCAACCCAAAGCAGAGCTGAAGAGGCCAGATGAGGAGGGTCATGGTGGCAACAGGTGTAGCAGGTTTCAGTCTGTTTTCTTAATTGTGCCTCAGCAGGTGTAAGTAGAAGAAGGATAGAGTGCTGTGAGGTGCTGGAGCTGTCGGGGAGGGAGTACTCCAGAGGGCTTCACTTGCATGAAGGATTTCCTGCCCAGTGAAACCCCCAGAATATTCCAGGAAGGGCACCACAGCCCACTCCTGCCCCTGGCCCGGTCAACCTGTTTGGATCTTTCAAGTTACAAAGCAGCTGCCTCTCTGGCTTCCCGCTTGTGTGGAGGATATGTGTGTGGCGGAGCTCCTTTTCTCACAGCAAAAAGGCAAGGTGCATTTTCTTGCTCTGTGCCTCCCTAGTGTGCAGATGAGTCATGGTGCTCTGGTTTGACAATCAAAGTACAGTCACTTTGATGTGTTCTGAGTGGTCAGAGGCCACAGCTTTAGAGCATTCTTGCAAAAAAAAAACCTAAAAACAACAACAAAAACCATGCAGTTAACTCCCCCCTCCCATACAAACCTCCAACCCAATTTCCTAGACAAAATTAGCATCATAAGGTGGGTTAGCAGGCTTTATTTCACAGGGAAGAGGTGCTTCTTTTATTTGCTTACTGATTATTGTATATAATTGGCCTTGCTGTGATCAAGTGTAAAGTGTTTAAATTCCAAAAGCATTTGCTTAGTGAGCAGATATTCTTTGTTGCATGGGGATGAATGACGTGGGGGAAAGTATCTCAGCATGAAGATACCTTTGATGCAGGTTTGAGGTAGTTTTCTATGTGGGCCATCCTCACAGTGTGCTGGCTCATAAAATGTGCAAACCTGTTGCGATACTGACCCAGGACTCTTTTGGCTTTAGATGTTTAACACTTACCATGGCCAAGTGATTAATGGAGATGTCTTGGAGTTATTTTCTTAACTCCTGGGCTCTAGGATTACTGCGCTGTGGAAGGGATTTCTTTTGCGGTAGGATGCTAAAAATAGACATTTCAGTAGGAGGAAGTTATGCATGTGGTTCTGAGCTTTGATGTACACATCTTGCATGCCCACATGGGAATTTCCGTACCCTGATGAACCTGGCAAGAAAAGCACAGGATTTAGGTTCCCCTTTTCTTAGGAACTGGAGACTCCTTCCCTTTTCATCTAGAACATAGTCCCCATAATGGCCATCTGAATGAGCTGATCTGGTGTTTGTAACTGCCTTATGACATAAAGGTGACTGGTCTGAGCTGGAAGACCTAGTCTGTAGAACAGATGACCTTTGTTTAGTGAGCTCTCTGGTCACCTCATCTCTGAAATGGGGAGCATGCAAGCTGCCACTGTCTTCCAGGATGGTGGTGGGGCTCAGATTAGATTGAGTTTACCAAAGTGCTTTATAAATTGTGAGCCCTGCTGATGGGAGGCAGAGGCAGCTTTGTTGTTAGGACTTCATTATCCTTCCTAAATCAACCAAGGGCTTCCTTCCAGGACTTTGTAGAATAAATAGTATCTTTGTGCAAATTGTTCTTTTGTGCTCTGGACCAGGTTGTCCCCTGAGTATGGGAGACACCCCTTCTTTCTGGTAGTTGTCTTAGTAATAGCCTATTATAAAAAATATAAATTACCACAACCTGAGATGCCCTCAGACCTGAGAGCTCTGACATCTGGGTTGGAGAAGAGCCCAGAGCACAATGGTCACTTGGCAGTGGAGTTATTGGGAAAGAAATGAGGCTTCCAAATGGGGAAGGAGAGGAAGTTTGTCCCTAGGGCAGGCAGGTAGGGCAGTACCAGCCACTTCTAGGAACTGCCTGCACTCCAGAGGTATTTAAGCCTTTGCCACACAACTTTCCCATCAATGGCACAGTAGTGTCTCTGCCAGAACCTGGACCTCCCTATCCATGGAATGTGGATCTCTGACCACCTAGGAGAATACCAGGCAGCCTCAAGTCTTGTGCTTTCCTTAGTAGGCATCCTTACCCTTCATCCCACAGTCTGGGTGGATGCACCCAGGTGCTTCACATTTGTCCTCATGTAATTTAACCTGCTTGTGTTCCACGTGCCATCAGTACCTCTGTTTCACAGGTGGACTTTAAAGCGTGTACATGACTTGTCAGGATTCTGCTACAGTAAGAGGTTGGAGCCAGGATTTGACTCCAGACTAACTTCACACTCTATATACATTTTCCGCTTGTCACTCACCTGCAACTTAAGGAAGCTTATGGTTTATAGAATAACTTCAGCACAGAATGTCTGCTCACCTCATCAAATGCTTTGGGAGTGTAAACATTTTGTAATCCATCTTCTCGAGGTCAGTGCCTATGGTTCCTTATTTATGACTGGTTCATCCCTTATGTAAAATAATAGGAATATAGTTTTATTCACACATAAAACATATTTTCCAGGGCCCTAGGCTCCTCACTTCCCTCTTTCTTTAGGTGAAACCAGAGGAGGACCCCACCACCTTGCTGTTGTCCTCTCTTGAGCCACAACCCCTCATAAGAGAGGGAACTGCCTTGGGGGCCTCTTTGGATCTGCTTCTGCTTGAGAAATCAGGCTGCCATGAATCTTTCCAAAGCCTACCCTATGCCACAGGGGAAATCCTTAAACTACCAGTGCTGCCCAGGTTTCACGGGTGTGAAACTGCCTCAAATAACTACCATGTGTGCACAGTTTGCATTGGGTGTTAGGAATTTTACACCTGTAGCCACTAACCTGTAGTGGTCTGTTTGGCCCTAGAAACAAAATAACAAAACAAAGCAAAAAGCCCTTAATTTAAACCACAAAAAAAAAAACAAAACCCTTTTACCATTGAAGCAAAACAAAACCCTCCCCCAGGCTGGCCAGAGTGATGCATTTCCTCACAGCCCCCTCCTGGCTGGAAAGCCTGGAGGACTCAGCTGGAAATGTAAATGCTAGTTGGGAACCGTGACTCACCATTCCTTGCCAGTGCCTTCTCGCACTTCTCAGCCCTGATGGAATAGAACGTGGATCAGGTGAGTTTTGATCACTTGGGTCAGGCAGAGATGGGGCTGGGAAGCAGGGGAGCACCTGCGCAGGGCCAGCTGGATGGGGTACTTCAGTGTGTGGTGGAGTCAGTGTGTATTTGTGTGTAGGATATGCAGGGCCAGGGAGGCCAATGCCCAAATTGAGGAGACTGTGCAAAAGGAGGGATGAGGCAGCCAGGTGGGTCTTGGAGCCAGCATTCCTCCTGCAAGTGCCAGATGGCCCTGCAAAGGGCTGTCCCAAAGCTCACCATCCACTCACTTGGCCCTAGGGTTAGACCCTTGCACTCTCTTAGTGGGGAGCGATCTAACCACAACTCTGTCTTACTCTCTATCCTGGGAAGCAGAACTAGACACCTCTTGTCATTCCTGAGGATCCCACTTGCCCTAGAAAGTACTAGTAAGGTCCAGGGGAGAGTTTAGAATGGACATGGTTTAGCCGAATGTCCCAGCTGCACAGCCTCCACTTCATAGTCTTGCTTCCCAAGTCCAGATCGCACCTGCCGCCCTGAATTCTCTTTTTCTCATGCAAAGCCTTTTACCTCACTCTCTAATTTGCATACTCCTAGGGATCACTCTACAAAACAAATCTCCTAGCTGAGAGATTTATTGTTTGGAAGACCCCACCTGTGGTACTGATTCTGACCTTTGTCCCACTGGGCTCTCACCCTGAGACCATCTCAGGTTAGGTTTTCCAAAACAGTAACTCATACTTGTCCTATCTCACCTGTGTGTACTCGGTGATGTTCAGTTCTTGTTTTTCTAAGGAAAAAAACCTGTCAGCTCACACTTGTCCATTTCCATGGGGGTAAGTGCTCCCTCCAAACCTGATTTCTGTGTCACAAGGCTCTGCTGGCTGGGAAGAGACTTGCATGCACTAGTGCACCATCAGATAGGCTTGTCCTCACATAACCTCAGGAGAATAAGCAGTAGCGAGGTGTAGTGAAATAATTACCCCCTTTAAAATATAATTCAGTTGTAAGTTTACGTAATTTAATTTTTAATATAATGGCTGTAGTTAAATGGTTCTCAAGTTTCCTGGAAACTTTACAGTCAACTTACTTGAGCCAACCCAGGCCTGCTCAGTCACACTTCTGGGTGGTATGTTGTTCACCATCAGGTGGACCCCACAGCCCTGCAACTGAAAACCGAAGGGTTCCTTACTTGTGCCTTTTGCAGTGATCGGTCTAGAAGACACATGATCATGTCATCCCGATTTCATGGGCTTGATGATCTAGGCAGTGAAGGAGAAGAGATTCGTCTGCCTCACCATTCATTCATTCACCTGTTCAGCCACATCCTCCTTTAATCCCTCGTCTCTTCTACCACATATCCATCCATCCATCCATGTGAACGTTCACCAGTCTGTTTTCTTGGGTCTGCTTTCCTCCATCGCTTTTCCCTCCTTCCATCTACCCACCCACGTGTAAGTCACTAAGTGCTTGCTGATGGAGTCCCTGTAGTGAGTCGGGTGATGTGCTGGTGTTTCAAAGGTACAAGAAACTCGTTTTCTACTGTGAGGCGCTCCTACTTAAGGGCAACGTGGACAGTTTAACAGTCATGATAAAGGCAACTGTAAAGTGCTGTGGGAGGTAAAGAGTTGGAACAATGATAGGGGTGGGAAATGGGCTGGGCATGGCTTTCCAGGGACTGACATTTGACCCGGGTGTTGTACAGATCAGGCATTTGAGGGGCAGGGGAATAGACAAGGTTCCACAGGCAGAGAGAAAGGATGTGCAAAAGCACTAAGGCTAGGGAGCCAGGCACATAGTTACATGCTGGGATTTTAGAGAAAGGAGAAAAGCCTGGCAGGCGGGATTGGTTTCTAGAAGAAGGGAGCACTTTTCCCAATGGAGGTGATGAGGGACGTTTTCCAGACCAGAACACCTGATATCAGGGACTGAGGTAACTGATGAACCTAAAAGGACTGGTGGACTAGGGACAGAGATGATGGCAACCAAGGAAAGGAAACTAACATTTAAAAATATCACTACCAGTGTTTAAGTAGTATCACTTAAAGGTACCACCTATGCATCAGGCATCTCACCATAGACATAATAGTCCTTGTCCATAGATAATAGATTATTATCCTATTATACAGATGAGGAAAGCTGAGGCTCCTCGTAGTAGTTTGCCTAAAGTCACAAAGCCTTGGCGCTGTCTGTGTTGAAACAGTATGGAGTCCTTTAGAGCTAATCTCTCATCCTTTTTTTCTCAACAATCCTGTGAAGAGGAAATAGAAACTCAGATTAAGTGACCTGCCACAGGTCACCAGGACTCTAAAGTCTTGATTGGGCATGTGGAGCCAAAAGTCTTGGGGAGCCTTTGCCTGGCATTTGGGCTGGATGTGGGTAACTAAGCACAATTAGGGCATCTTTTACCTGCAGTTTGCAGAGAAGGGGAGCTGCAGATGTTGGGAGGACTTGATGGAGCTTATACTAAACTGGTCAGTTTGTGACCAGACCAGAGAGAGGCCTGCAAATAGCCCAGGGTCTCACCACCCGGAGGTGTGGCTGCCCCACAGGAGGCTCCATTCTGTTTGCTGTCAGGAGTGTGCTCAGCATTGCCCACCTGCTTGAAGGGCCTGATTTCACCCAGCACAAGAAAGGAACTTGGAAAGAGAACACGGGTGTAATAAACCAGTAACTAATGGAGGCAGGAAGGGAAAGAAAATGCTTGAGAAATTCCCTGTTCAGACTTTGGCTTTCTTGGAGCCATTAGGATTTATGGTGGACAATTGTTTAGATCTAAGTCCTAAGGTTGGAGAGGGACCTAATTATCTTCTCAAGTGACCAGTAAGAATTGCAGTGTTCATCCTTATTTGGTGTGTAGTTTTCCAGGAAGGCCCTAGGGAGACTTGGAGACTCATTCTGCCTTTGGGGCCACGCTGCTCGGGTCAAGTGGAGCTTCAGTTTCTCTTAGCTATGTGCTGCTGACATGTGCTTGATCTTGCAGAGCCTCTGCCTCTGTTTTTTTTTTTTTTTTCCTGGCCAAGAGATTCTTTATTGCCGGGTGGGAGAGGAAGAGAGCAGAGAGAGCCAAAAGAGAGAGAGAGGGGCAGGGGCTTAAATACCCCTCAGTGGGACTCAGCATGATCTGATTGGTTAGGATCTTATGGTTCATGCTGATTGGAGGTTGGGGCAGAAGGAGGATTCAAGCTAGACTTGAGGCTGGACTGTGACCCTGGGAGGCAGGACCGTGACCCTGGAAAACAGAAGCTTAAGGGTGCAGTAAGAACTGAAACCTATCGGCGCCATTATTGCCAACATTCCTCCCTTTTTTGTTTCTGCCTCTGTTTTACAGTATGTAAAAGTGGATGGTCATTCATTCAACAGCTACTTAGTAAGCACCTACAATGTGCCAGGCAGCATTCGATGTTTGGAAAAATTAGGCAGAAAAACAGATAAGAATTCTGCCTTCCAGGAGCTGACTCTGCAGTGGGGTAAGATTGTAGATGAGGTCACTGCCGTCTACACACAGTGGGCCCTTGAGAGGACAGGCCCCTGAACACGTGGTAGTGATCAGGTTGAGGAGATAGTCTCTTGTGAGGTGTGGTGCTGAGACTGGCCTGTCCCAGGAAAGCAGAATGCAAGAGAGGATGATCCCGGATATTGAATGTGCATTACCTCCAAGTGTGGAGAAAGTAGGCACCTACACCTTCATCCTTAAGATGTGGCCAGTCCCTCCCAGCATGTTCACCAGCCTGGCTTTCCTTCTGAAGGCACAGTTTCAAATCCTGTGGGTTGCGCACACATCCACCTGCAGCTTGTTGGTGTTCTTGACAGACAATGCCACCATTGTGTGGCCATGGGTCCATTCCCAGGCTGGGCCCAGCCTCCCTGTTGCACAGGGTCCCAGACCAGCCCAGCCCTGCTGCAAACTAGAATGAAGGACTTTACCCCTGAGCTGTTCTATTTCCCTGTGAAGGTAACTCCTGTTATATTGGCATTTTTATTCTTGCTATCCTAATACTGTTGTGAAATTATGTTTACTTTGTGCTTTGGTGACATGGGAAAGTGTCAGCTCCCCTCTAGGGTCTGTTAGTCCTGAGTGACAAGTGGCCAGTTCAGTTCCCAGGGACAGGAAGGAGCTGGGAACTGGCTGTTGTGCAACCAGCCTTTCTCCCTCACTGCTTTTCCCACACTGCTAGGACACCTGGCCCTCTGTGGCTGTGGACTCCTCGCTAGTAGTGTAGCACAAGGAGCCAGAGCCATGACTTTCAAACCCTACCCCTTCGTTGTGCAGTGCTGGAAAAGTCCCTTGACTTCTTAGTTCCTCAGTTTCCCCATCTGTAAAATGATACCAT